TTCCTATACATAGGGACTGAGTTATATTACACAAAATTTGATATGTGGTACGTTCATTTTCATTCATTTCAAAATATTTTCCGGGCTTCCCTGGTGGTGCAGTGGTTGAGAGTCCGCCTGCTGTTGCAGGGGATGTGGGTTCGTACCCCAGTCCGGGAAGATCCCACATGCCGCAGAGTGGCTGGGCCCATGAGCCATGGCCCCTGAGCCTGTGCGTCCAGAGCCTGTGCTCCGCAACGGGAGAGGCCACAGCAGTGAGAGGCCCGTGTACCGCAAAAAAACAAACAAACAAACAAAAAATTTTCCTATTTCCATGATGATTTCTTCTCTGTTCTCTAGTTCATTCAGAAGTCTATTTCTTAATTTCCAAATTATATGGATTTTATAATTATCTTTTGTTACTGATTTCAAGTTTAATTCCATAGTAGGTAGAAAACATGCTATATATAATTTCAATACTTAGAAATACGTTGAGACTTGCTTTATAGCCTAGTATGTGGTCAATATCTGTAAATGTTCTATGTGCACTTGGAATTTCTGTGTATGTTATAGTTATTTAATGCAGTGTTCTGTATGTATCAATTGGATCAAATTTGTTAATAATGTGGGTCAAATATTCCATATTCTTTCTAAGTCGTCTGCTTGTTCTGTCAGGTAGTTAATGAGAAAGGGGGTCATAAAAGTCTCTGACTATAATTGTGAATCTGCCTTTTTCTCTTTTTTGTTCCTTCAGTTTTGCTTCAATATTTGGCTTGGTGTTTTCTTCAGTATTGGAAATTTCCTAGCCATTATCCAGTCAAGTATTTTTTCTGTCCCCATGAGACTGACAAAAGCTTTACCCAACCTTTGAACCTTCCAGCTGCATCTACCAGAATTGACAGACACTTCTAGAAAAGAAGCATCCAAAAATATCAGACACCTCTCTGGGTTTTCGTTTTCTCCTGGAACTTGGCCCAGCAATTCTTTACCCTTTTGTGAATTCTAGTAGTAACATCCAACAAATTTTAAAATATATTTTGTCTAGATTTTCTAGTTCTCATCAGAAGAGAATAGTAAAAATTATTTAGGTCACAATCACTAGAAACAGAGCTCCACCTTTACATTTTTATATGCACACTTGACAAAGTATCTCTTACCTAACTCCTGAAAAATACAAGGCTTTAGAAATATTGAACACAGGGCACTCCATTGCACATATTATGATAAGGTAATATTTTATTTCACTACTGTTTTCTAACCCCCCAATTGTTATTGTTGTTGATATTGTTGTTACTATTATATAGTCAATGCTTCTTTGCATCTCTCTGGGCTAGTGGATAGTTTATTAGTCCCCATCTCATTGAGATTGCAGCTTTTCAGGGGTTGTCCTTGCTTTCTGCAGGAGTTTCCGTCCAACTCCCCATCTTAAATGGGCCAAAGACCTCATCTCTTTTCCCTTTGTGGACACAGATACCCAAGCCCCTGGTCATTACTGGGTATAATAACCCCTCTATGCTGCCAGAGGGTTGACTTACGTGCTTACGTCTTTGACTGTTAGCATCCTCTTTGCTTCCAGTGTTTGAGAATTTCTCTTTCTTGTGAACTACGACATGCAATTTTAAAAATTATTACATTATATTCAGCATTTCTAAGGGTTTATATCAAGGTGGTTTAAAGATAGCCTAGACTGCCATTTTGCCAATACTGTTCATCTAGTTCTGAACAGTGAATGAATACTAGATGAATACTATTTCATCTAGTCCTACTACTTTTCAGGAACTCATCAGAATGATGTACTCCTATGTCTAAAATTTATAGTTGTATAAGACAATATATGCAAAATGTTTGCCTCTCATTGTTTCAGTCAGCTCTGGCTTGATTGGCTTTGACCAATTTAGCTTTCTAATCTTAGAAATGCCCTTTCAGTTCAGCTTTTAGTGTCTTGAGGGAGGCCATTAAGGGGAGCAGAACTACAATATCAAATTCACTATAAGAACTGAATTTTAAAATCCAGATTATCAATCATAGGTTCAAAATCAAGATATAGAGTGTTGGTGCTAATTCAAGATTAACCTACTTGAGCTACCATTTATTAGGCTAAGTCCCCCCTTTTTGGTATTGTCTGGGTCCTAGACGTTTCTCACAACCTGGTGATCCCACACACAGTTTTCTGTCCACTCTTCCACCCAGTGCAATCTGGCTTTACAACTACCACTTTATCAATACAGCTCTTCCTAAAGTTACCAACAATTTCCATGTGGTAAATCCAATGGGTACTTCTCTGCCCATGTCTCACTTGACCTCTGAGCAATATTTTTTACGTAACTGAAACCATTAGGTGGCACTTCAGGGGCTCCAAGGAGCTCCAGTTCTTTATGTCTCAATGCAGAAAGAATTCAGCAAGAGGCAAAGTGATAGATAAGAAGTGATTTATTAGAACAGGACACTTGTGAGGCTTACAAGCAGGTGGGCGAGAGGGTGCCGCACCCCAAGAACTTAGTGGGCTACAGTTTTATAATCAAAGGAAAAGTGGGGAGGGGGTGCGGCGCCCTCTTTCTCCTTTCTCATTCTTGAATAGACATCAAAATTCCATCATCATGGGCTTCCCTGGTGGCGCAGTGGTTGAGAGTCCGCCTGCCGATGCAGGGGACGCGGGTTCGTGCCCCGGTCCGGGAAGATCCCACATGCTGTGGAGCGGCTGGGCCCGTGAGCCATGGCCGCTGAGCCTGCGCGTCCGGAGCCTGTGCTCCGCAACGGGAGAGGCCACAACAGTGAGAGGCCCGCGTACGGCAAAAAAAAAAAAAAAAAAAAAAAAAAAAAAATTCCATCATCATCAGTTCCTCCTCCACGTCGGGTGAGGGAGTTTTCTTGTCCCTACATGGTCAAGCTGGGACTGTCATGGTGCAATGGAAATGAGCAAAAAGGCAATAACATATACTAAAATATGTTAAATCATTTCAGGTTTTAGTATAATGTCACCTTTTCCTTATATTTTTGTTTTTAGTGCATGCAGAGGGGCGTGTCCTAGTAATCATTAACTTACTGAGCTCACTGGGAAGGATGTGGGTCTCATGCCACCATTGTTTTATTGTTTGGGGGCATGTCTCATGTTTCTGTTACCTGGTTTTGTTGCTAAGCAAGCCTGCTTGGTTTTGTGGTTAAGCAAACCTGCTTTCTTGAGTGATCATTAACTTACAGGGGTCTCCTATACTTTTTTCTTTACTTATAATCCCCTAGTGGGATTAACTGTTTAATCACCTACTTTGGCCCTTTACTCTGTCCCTGTGATAACTACCCCCTTCTTCTTGAAAAAGTGTCCTCTTTTGGCTTTAGCTGTACCACAATCTATTAGATTTCCTCCTATCACTCACTGCCCTCTCCTTCCCAGTCTTCTTTGATGGTTCCTCTTTTTCTACCTTATCTTTAAATCACGGAACGTCTCAGGGCTCATTCCTTAGATTTAGATAATAAATACCACCTATATGCTAATGGTTGCCAATTTCATATCTCTAGCCCTGGCCTGTCAAATTCATATATCTTAGTGCTTAATTGACATCTTCATTTGGCTATCTGTACGTTATCTCAATGTTAATCTGTTTGATCTTCCATCTTATTCTTCCTGTATCCTTTTCCATTTTGTTAGTGGCAGCATTATCCACCCATTTGTTTAAGCCAAAACTTTTATTTTTCCCTTTCCTTCATTTCCTATATCCCCTCTTAAGGAATTCATATTGGTTCTACCTCCAAAATATATCTCAAACTGCCCAATGACCCTGTCAGCTGTAAATACTATTACTTTCATTGTGTAGTTACACAAGCAGAGATTAAGAAAGCATGTTAGTAATTTGCCTAAGGATACGCAGCTTTTATGCAGAGGAATTCTTATTCCAAACCGTTTACTCTTTCTATGATATCTTGACCCTCAAAGAATACTTGTGAATGAATTAGTGAATATATTGATCCAGGTAGTAATAAAATTCATAATCATGGCTTTATCAGAAGAATATTCTCACCTACTGAAAAATAACTCTGCTACCCATAGAGTAGAAACCTTTGTTACATATGAAGAGCTTTGTTACGTGTAAAAATATAGGGTAATACTTATATCATCATATGTCAATATCTATCAATATATAAAACCAGTTTCAGAATTTAAGACTATGAAAGATAGACAACTTGGCTTCCAGAACACCCTCTTTTTCATTCAAGGATATGTAGCCAATTGTACCCAAAACCTATTGCATTCTTTCGATAGGCTTTTATCTCCCTTCTGCTCCTCGAGCAAGGGAATTTTATGAAGAAACAAGCTAGCCAAACTTTTATTTTGGTTTTCTACTGTCATGATTTTATTAATATTCAGTGTTTCTCAAAAAAAAAAAAGTCAGGGATACAGAAGAGAGAAACTGGGCAGAGCTAATAATACACCTTGATTATATTGGCTAAATATTGAATGGCATTTTGAGATAAGAAGACTGTGTGTTTTAATCAACCAAGAGTCATTTTAAATCCCTAAAATAAATGCAAATATTGTTAGTATGATCAGAGAAAGCAGTTGATTACTGTCACTGGCAGCTTTACCTCTTGTATAGTATGAATTTTATTAGAAAGTTATCATCTTTCTGATTGTAAAACCCGAATGAAATTAGGGCACTGTGTGTTTTCTCCAGTGATTTCTTGTAGCATCACAAAATCCCTACAACATTACCTGTAATCTTAATGAATGTTTAGTGAAAACCGCTTGACATTTGTTTGGCACTGACTTCATTTCTAAGCCTTGAGTGCTGTTATCATTTTGTGGACTGCTCAAAAGCAATATGATTTAGAGTTTATTTTATACATAGAAATATAACTACCTTTTTTAACAGAGTTCCTTGTACATTCACTCAAATGCTAGAGGGCTTTGTGCCATTTTGTTTATATATTTTAAATACAGGTACAGAGTGAGATTTTGATGATTCTAATGTGTTTTTGAAAGAGTAGGCTCTGGTTGTAATAAAATATGTAAATGCACCTTCTTTGAATTCCCCACAGAGCTCTGTACCGTGGAGTGTGGTAGCCATGGAGTCTGCTCAAGAGGGATTTGCCAATGCAAAGAAGGTTGGGTAGGACCAACATGTGAAGAACGCTCCTGTCATTCTCATTGTGCTGAGCATGGCCAATGCAGAGATGGAAAATGTGAGTGTAGCCCTGGATGGGAGGGCGACCACTGTACAATCGGTAAGTATCACCATACTTTGAACAAAGTAAATTGGATGAATTGAAGAAGTAAAGCAGTCTAGCAAGTCAGTCACCAAAAGCTGTTCGTAGAATTTGAGATGGGAAGAGGGAAGAAGTAGGACGGCTGGCCATAAGTTTGAAAGTTTCCTTAACTGGGAGGTTTCCTGTTTTGTTGATAATATCTTACTTATTTCTGTGTCTTTTCCTTTCTCATTACTTCATTATTCTTTACACTTTCTGCTTTCAAGTGCTTTGAGTTACTCAAATGAAAGATGATGCATTAGAATATAGTGTCATTAGTTAATAAGAAAAGTGCTTTTGTTGTAAAGTTAACATTCACTGGCCATTTTTCCTTTTGAAAAGTATAGGTTGTTTTGGTTGAAAGCACTTAGAGGCAGTTTCATTAAATGGGACTACTTTATCAGGGGCCATTCAATATCATTAAGGGCTGTCTTTAATGTGTATAAGGAAGACACTCCTGACCTGCCATCAATAGAACATCTGTGTTGAATTGTTTATTGGGTAGTATAGAGAGTTCGTACCGCGGCATCCACCCTTTCTCGTCCCTTGTCACCAATTTCACTAATTTTCAGGCTGCTCCCTGGGAGAACACCTGTGGGTGTGAGAAAGTCTATGTAATAATTAATCTATCACGTGGTCTTTACACCATAAAAAACACTAATAATAATGAAAGTTTCATTTATAAAATACTTTTCTCTGAGAAAAATATCAAAGCCCTTGACACACACATGTATCTGCCACCAAGGTTCCCTGCGTATACAGAGGGACAAGTATGATTACCATTGTTCAGCTAAGGAAAGTGGGTCACAGAATGTTCCAGTGTCATTCTGTGAGCACACAGAAAATTCATACAGTGCAAAAGCAAGCGTGGGCCTCTGGATACACAATTCATTGTTCATGGGCTTTTTTTCCCCTCTAGACTGTACTACAGCTTTCATTTTTAGGTGATTTTTGTTATAATGGTTGGAACCTGACAAAGTAATGTATAGTATATATAATATATATAACATATAGTTTTAATAAACTGCATTACTACTCAACTACAGTCAGTCTTGTTCTGTGACTGTGGAAAATACTTAAGATTCATTAAAAAGGTGGTGAGGGGTGAGATTCAGATGCAGCTTAAGTAATTACATTCCTGCACTAGAGTAAGTTTATTGCCTTCACATAGGAGGATTTAAATATTGTCATGATTACCAAAGGTGGTTACTCCAGAACTCCCTTCTAAAGATATTACTAATAAGAAGTTCAAGCTAGCACTCCTTCATGAGTTATTACTGAAGTGTAAAAATGCAGTTCTTATACTTTTAATGAAATATGACACTTTTTTAGGAAGCCTAATAGAGTTTCTTGCGGAAAAGCCATTAATATCTTTCCCACAGAAAATATTATTCACAAACTACACAGGCCAGTGTACTAACTTTCGAGCTGCAGGCATTTCAGAATTCACAGTTTGCTGTTCTCCCAGGCAACAGATGGTAAACCATTAGTACTTGTTGTATAGCTTTGGTCTCCCAGAAATTCATTCAATCACTCTTTTCGCCCCTTTTTAGCTCACTACTTAGATGCTGTCCGAGGTAAGCCCGTTCTCTCTAGTTTTATAACAGAAAAATATTTTAAACCGAAAATATGCATGTGGGAAAGGAAGTGTTGGTGGGGTTTGGGTGTTGTTTGTTGTTGTTGTTTTTAATGTTGGCAGTCTTACTTAAGTGCAATATTGTCAGGTTCATGCTGTAATAGACTTAAAAGTAATTTGCTTTCCCAATATCAAAGATTCATTTTTTGCCGTAGAGTTTAATAGACTGATAAGCAGTTTTAAGAATTATTTTTCTTTGTCTTGATGTCGAGGCGGGTGTGTGTGTGTGTCTGTTTGTATGACAGAGAGGTAATTATTAAATAAACTAGGTTTAGGTAGACAGCTGAACTTTTTCTCTAACATAACAATATAGCTTTAAGTCCGTGTAGAGTATCCTTACAAGGGCAGAAGAATTATTCCCCTGTTAGTACCTCATCATCCATCCCCACCAGGGATCTGCATTCGATAGAGACTGCAAGGGTTTTTCTGTCAGATTTCCTGGTGCCTTTTATTACCTCAGCCTCAGAAGGTTGAAAATGTCCTGCTCAAATTATCCCTAATTTCTCTTTATCCACTGTATGTGCATGAGAATGGAACTAGATAAATTTCTTTTCTTAATCTTATACGTGTGCGTGAGGAATATATAGATAATCTTTTCATATTTTCTAACAGCCATCTGTCATTTTGTTTTAAAGTCTTTTCTTCCTCTGGTCTGTTGAGAGTTGCTAGGAAAACCGTTTGCAAGAAACACTGGATTACTTCTACAGATTTTTTTAAAAATTCTTTTGCTTTTTATACTTCTGGAATTTTCTTTCAAAGACAGAAAATGGAAGGAATATTGATTGGACTCTCTCCTGTAGAATCCAGATCTGGTCTTGCGTTGCTCCTGGGGAAATTTCCAGAAGCTATATGCCATTATTGCTCTCTCTGTTCATCTGCCCACTGAGCACTTGGGACTTGCAGAGTTGCCCTTTGGAATAGCCTATCTCTGAACCACTGGTAGAAAGAGTAGGTCATCCCTGAGAAATTAAAAGTCTAAATAGAGACCATCGTTAGTGTTTGTGGTTAGGGTTATCAATGGATAGAAGTCATTTAAGCATTATAATTTCCTCTTGACTATATTTATCCAGTTATTCTCCAGAATTCTGAAAGTCTAAATTTGGTGTGCATTGATTCCATAAACGTTTGTTGAGCACTTACTACAGGTATACTATTATGCTAGTTTCTGAGAGAGATACCAGATAAGTAAAAAAATCAATCCTTAGCTTTCAGATCAATAATAATCCTGAAGAGAAGAGCTGAATAGGTGTAAAGCAACTGCAGCACATTTCTAAGGCACCATGTGGGCAATTAATGGTCTGAACTGTATACCAACATACCTAAGTCCTGAAGCAACATATCACAAGGGAAAACTCAGCACAGAGTAGCAGTAGTTAGGAGAAATGTCTCTTCATAGAAACTGCTGTCTTTTCCCAACTTTTTGGCCATAACTAGATACAATATCATCCATCCAGTTTTGATTGAGATGAGGAGATACCTTTTTCGAAAAGAAACAAAAAACATGCCTTGTCCCCATCATAGTTTTTATCCCGTCTGAATCAGAGGTTGGGAATTGGGGTTAGCATTAATAACGTTTAATTGGCTCTCTAAGGAAAAGCACAGCAGAGTAAGGGATAACAAGTTCCCTGGGAAGGTGGTATAAGCAAGCAAGCTCCTCTTCCATTTATTCAACACCTCATCTGAATGGAGCCCAGATGATTCGATTTTTCCCTCTAGGCAGATACATCATTTTTGGCCAATCCCATTCTGATGTCTCTGAATTTGTTACTCTCTGCTGTCTTTTCAGATGGCTGCCCGGGGCTCTGCTTTGGAAATGGGCGATGTACCCTGGATCAAAATGGTTGGCACTGTGTGTGTCAGGTGGGTTGGAGTGGGACAGGCTGCAATGTTGTCATGGAAATGCTTTGTGGAGATAACTTGGACAATGATGGAGGTGAGTCATTTATTAAATGTTCATAAAAGAAAGGACTAGCCCAGCCTCTAGCACAGTGATGACCAATCTGGCCAAGAGTGAAAATTAGGAATCCTTATAAAGTCATACTATTTTGTAAATCTCAATTTATTGAATATTCACAGTAACCAGGCAATACTCCAAACTCTTTCCATGTATTATATCTCATTTAATTCTCACGATAATGTTATCAGGTATAGGTACTATTTTCCTTGTTTACAAATGGGAAAACTAATACTTGGAGTGGGGATGGTAAGTGACTTTTCCAGGATCACACAGCTAGAAAGTAACAGAACCAAGGTTCCAATTCAGGGCTATATGACTTCAGTTTCTGTTTTCTTAATTGTTACAACCATGCTGCCTCCCGTATCTGTGGCATTTATTCTACTAAGTTAAATCAGCGTACCACTGTCTAAACTGTCAGATGCTAGTGTAGCTTGCACTATACACATCGTGAGGTAGTTTTCTTTGTTCTTAGTTATTGAGAGCTCCCTCCTGTGTCTTTACCTTTTAGTACCACTTTACATCCTTCAAAGGACACAGCATCATGACAATTCACAGTAGAGTATTTTACATTTAATTCAAGAGCTGCACATGTTTTAGAAAGCCATATGTGGCTCCAAGGCCTCAGGGTAACCACTTCTGTTTTAATCAAGCAAACAAAGGCATCTAATACATTGTACAGCCAGGCCTCAAAACAGCCAAATCACCTCTGAATGAGCCTGAGACAACAAATCCTCACTTTCCTCTTACTTTCTACTCAAGAAAACACTAAATTGACAAAAAAAATTATTTCTAATTTCTGTATATTGACTTAAAATGAAGTAGGTTGTTAAATTTGACTCCTCAAGGTTTCTATTTGTGCCTAGACAATTATATACCTTGTCATTTGAATCCAAATGGGGCTTAAAACAATAAGGTAGCAATCATCGTTTAAGCACCAAATTAGGTGTACAAGTGTCCTCTTTTATTGTTCTGGCTAACAGTTTACCTTTAAAAGTTATAAGACCTTATGAATTTTAAGTAGAAGCAACTTTCTGATTAAGAGCACAGGGCTTTGAAGTTAGAATTTCTGGGGTCAAATATTAGCTCTGCTATGTACTTCTGGCTGTAGGGTTTGGGAAGAGTTTCTTGCTATCTCTGTGCTTCAATTTCCTTATCTTCAAAATGGGGCTGATAATAATAATAACTGTCTAATAGGGTTGTTATAAGAATTAAACGAGATAATTCGTGTGCACTACTTAAAGGACGGTAAACTACACCAATCAACGCACATGTGCACACACACACACACACACACACACACACACACACACACACACACACACACTAAATTTAGGATAACAGACCATTTTCTGAAGAGACTGTTTACTTCCTATCTAATTTGAAATTTTTGTTGGGGAGGCCAGAGTGAGATTTTCAATTAAATGGTACACTAATCAACCATTTACTTGACTTCTGTGGTCCGCCAAGACCCATTTTCTTGTTTTTTTTCACGACTCATCTACACCCATCATTCTCAGTTCATCATTTAAGTCCCAACTCAAGACATAGTTCCCATGACACCTCTGACATCCACCACCCCAACCTACCATGGTGTTTATCATATGCACCATACGATCAAGCACTAAATTATATCCTGTCTATACTGTTTCCTTGTTACATGTTAAGTATGACCCAGAGTCCATGGTTTGACGCCCAATATAATTACTAATAATATTAGCTCACTTGTATTCAGGGTTTACTATGTACAAGGCACTGTGCTGAGTCCTTTATGTGAATAATTTCACTTAATCCTCATAAGGTAGAAACTACTATTAACACTACTTTACAAATTAGGAAACTGAGGCACTGAGAAGTTAAATAAATTGCTCAAGATCATATAGAAAGTAAACGGTAGAGCGAGGGTGTAAACCTAGGTGGTCTGCTTCATTCCAAAAAAGATCGGAGGCAGTAATGGAGATTTCTCAATTGATATATTGATTAAAATGTTATGCTCAGAAAATACATTAACAACCTATGCAAGTATAATTTCTTTCTTTCTTTCCTTCTCTATTTATTTGTATTTGGCTGTGTTGGGTCTTTGTTGCTGCACGCGGGCTTTCTCTAGTTGCGGTGAGCAGGGGCTACTCTTTGTTGTGGAGCACGGGCTCTAGGCACGTGGGCTTCAGTAGTTGTGGCTTGCGGGCTCTAGAGCACAGGCTCGAGCACAGGCTCAGTAGTTGTGGCGCACGGGCTTGGTTGCTCCATGGCATGTGGGATCTTCCTGCACCAGGGCTCGAACCCGTGTCCCCTGCATTGGCAGGCAGAATCTTAACCACTCTACCACCAGGGAAGTCCCAAGTATAATTTCTGACTCAGGGTTGAGCTAAAATGAGTTTCCTGCTTAATAAAGTACAGCTTGATAAAAATAATTGAATAATTATCAAGCATTTTCTGTGGCCTCAAGGTCACCTCAAGGGAGCCAAAAATGTTTAAGGAATGGATCAATTAAATATTAATGAAATAATGGATTATCAATTTTCAATATCTGTGGTATATATAGATACAAAAGGTATAGAAGATGTTGCTGAATGTGTATTGACCTATGAACATTCCTTTAAAATTGTGTATCTATGTGGGAATCAAAAATCAAAGGCGCTGGGGCTTCCCTGGTGGCGCAGTGCTTGAGAGTCCGCCTGCCGATGCAGGAGACGCGGGTTCGTGCCCCGTTTCGGGAGGATCCCACATGCCGCGGAGCGGCTGGGCCCGTGAGCCATGGCCGCTGAGCCTGCGCGTCCGGAGCCTGTGCTCCGCAAATGGGAGAGGCCACAACAGTGAGAGGCCCGCATAACGCAAGAAAAAAAAAAAAAAAAAAATCAAAGGCGCTGATGTGAGTTTAGTGTATTTTTATGATTGTCTCTTTAGGGAGTAGCAGGGGGAGGCTCCTTGAGATATTCAATTACCATTTTTTCATTTGGTAGGATTAAGATGATACTGATGACAAATAAATATTTAGTTCTACTTTGAGATAGAAAGATGGATTAAATAACCCCTGAAAGCCTCATGACTAAGATTTTGGACAATAAATCCATTTTTATACTGTTTAAGTAACATCCCTAAGAATATATTAAATGTCCTGTATTTGGTGGTCTCAGCTTTCCAGCTATCCAGAATGGCTGGATTCATTTCCAGCCATCCAGAATGATTGTATATGCCTAATGATTAATATTTGCATACTTGTTTGTGCATGTATGTGTGTGAGTTTTAATTAAATCAGAAAGTGCCAATTGAACCTTTTGGGGGAAAAAAAAGTGGTCCTAATTTTTTAAATGTTAATTCTTAAGAAATCTTCCCAGTCAAAAAAAAAAAAAAATCACTTTCAAGCAGTTGCTTCAAGTAGCTGCTTCCTGATTACTACATATCATTGCTGATACTTAAAGAATGGCAGGATTTTTTTTTTTTTTGCATTCTAATCAGCTTTGAATACTCATTAGTATTACTGCTACTTCCTGAAGCTTTGACTTTAGTTACACTCTGATTCAATGCATTGTGACTCTTAGTAACTAGGTGGGCTCATTGAATATGTGGGTGACACAGGTCTAGGAGCTACCTAAGAGCTCCTTGAATAATAAAAACAGAACTAAGAACAAAAAACCCTTGGATTGTTTTCTTAACATGCAAAAAAATTGAAAACTGTCTTTTACATTGTATATTTAAGAACTAATTACTACAGAAATCACAAATCTATCAAATGTCTTGACCTCATGTATCCCTTTAGTCAACAAGCACATACCATGGACACAACCTTGTGCTTGGAAGAGGAGACTTAACCTTATGGTGACCACATTTTTCATGTGTTCATCATGTGTCCTGATTTAGGGTTTGAAAAATATAATCACCATACATTACATGCACATATGAATTGACATGAGAAAAAAGTTTAGACATTATATTAACTGAATCAGAATAGCTAAAACAAAGAATAGTGAGAGCAAGCTAGAACTATCAGGTGTTAAAATAATATTTTAAAACTATGATAATTAAAACAAAATCGTACTGATGTAAGCATAGACAGATCAGTACAACCGAATGAAAGCTTCAGGAACACACCCCGGTACAAATATTTAGGATATTATAAAACCAGCATCAAAAATCAGTGGGGAAAAGAAACATTATGAAATAGGTGGTGCTGAGACAACTATTAAGGAAAAAAAAAAAAAAAACTTAGATTTTCAATTCATATCTCATTCCAAAAGAATAAAATAAATAAATAAAAACACTGCAGCTGATTAATGAGTTGAAGGCAAAAGAAAACTCAAACACAATTAGAAGAAAACATAGGTGGTAGATCTCAAGATTGGAAAGGACTTCTTAAACATAAAAGCTAGGAAAGAAACCACAATAGGAAAAAAATGATAAGTTGGACTTCATAGAAGTTTCCAACTTCTTTGTATTCTTTGGCTAAGTTTATAGACCATCCGACATCTATTTGAAGATACCAAAATCTGCATTGTCTGATATGGTAGCCACTAGCCACATATGACTCTTTAAATACAATTTAAATAACATTAAAAATTCCAGTTCTCCGTTGCACTAGCCGCATCTCAAGTGCTCAACAGTCACATGAGGCTAGTGACTACTGTGTTGGTGCACATCTAAAGCATTCCTATCAACGGAGAAAGTTCTGTTGGATAGTGCTGATCCAAATGTTTGACTCCAAGATTTATTTACCTTTCAGCCAAACATTTCAGATTGGGCACCCAATTTTCCATTCATTCATTACTACTTTGTGCCGAGTATTGTGCTTGACACTGAGGAGAAAATGTCAAACAAGTTTCTGCCTTCATGGAGCTTATGGTTTAGGTATTAAACAAGAAACCACACAAATAACTATATATTTACAATTGTTTAGAGTGCTATAAAGTTTTTAGAGTGCTATAAACATGTATAACAGGACCTAACCAAGTCTATATGGCAAGGGAGGCCTCACATGAGTCAGG